GAATAAAGAGGAGGATAGATAAATCACTAGCAGAGGAAATATGAGAGACCCATTGAAATAAGATTGAAGATGATGGAGTCACACCTATATAAACTGCGGGCACACTAAAAGATCCAGGAGAATGTTATTAAAAACATATTTTATTCCAACATCATCTTAAAACATTATTTCAAAAGATGGTTGAAAGCCAAATATTGTGAGATGTGTAGATGTAAAATCAGGTATTATGGGGCATAACTAAAAATCACAGGGCCTCATAGAAAAAAATGTGCAGGAGTCCTCCCAAATAGTTCCTGTCAGCAGAGGGCATGCTGTGATGTGTGGTCCACGTTGGGATATGTAGCCCCTGACAAAAAAGGGCATGCCGGGGTATGTGGGTCACGCTGGGGACCTGTAGTCTGGTTGGGAAGTTGCATTGGCCTGGTGTCATTACTGGAATCACCCAAAGTTGCACTTTATTTGCAGCTCTTTGGCACCATGTGCTGTGCTCTCACTCACCCACACACTGATTTCAGCCAGGGGAGGTCTGCTCTGTGCCTGTAAATCACTCTGGGTGGCAGAAGTGCCCAAGCAATGTTCTCAGCAGCAGCCAAGACTTTCCCAGCTGAATGCTGAGAGCACAGGGATGGACATCCCCCCCCTTCCACATTTTCCAATGTTCAGCATGCAAACAGCTTAGAACACCTCCACACTGATTTCAGCCAGGGCCCAGTATAGAGGAAAGGGGGGGGGGGTACATCAGCTGCACTGTGCCTGTAAATCACTCCGACTGGAGAAGTTCTCTGTGTGCTCTGCAGCAGCCAAAACGTTTCCAGCTGAATGCTTAGAGCAGGGATGTCCAGACTCCTGCCCTCCAGCTGTGGTGGAACTACAAATCCCATGAGGCATTGCAAGATTCTCGCAGCCACAGACATGACTCCACAGCTGGAGGGCTGGATTTTGGACATCCTACCTGTCTTTCCTAACCCCGGTCAGGCCGAGAAGACAATAAGCCTTGCTCCTGACCGGGACCCCTTCTGCCCCATAGTGGTCACATGGTCACTATGGTGGTAGTACCACCACTGTCCGGTAGAACGGATCAAACCAGTATGTATTTCAAGGGAACTCTTTTGGAGGGAATCATTCTTCTGATGATAGAATACAAAGCTCTGCTTTCATGTAATATAGATTGCTATTGACACAACGTGGAGTGAAATGATATACCTGGAATTCTTCTGTGTAAGTGGAACAGACAGATGTTAGAGGTCCCTGTACATGTCATGGCAGGCCATGTGGGTTTTTATACATTTACCTGTGTATGTATTCTAAACTGATGATAATTCTCACGTGGCTCATTAATTTTGAAGCGTCTGTTGCTGTCAAAAATTTACTTAACCAATTAAAGTCATCAGCTCGCAGAAGTGTACAGAAGTTCATACAAAGTGATACACACAGGTTGTTGGATTTGGCTAAAACAATGTCAAGGACAATTGCACCTTTTACAAAGTTCTCCCCTCAGAAAATGTCTCATAAGAAGTCACTGCTGTACCCAGTATTCTGTAGAACAGCCTGAGAAGTGTAACTGGGATATTAAAGCTGAAATCCAGGCAAAATTATGTTATATACTAATAAGAATCATGAAATATGTGTCTAAACATGTATTTGCATTAGCATAGTCTACTAGCTACTCCTACCGACCTCATAGAACCCCTTTTATTTGGATATACAGTAGACCTGTCAATACCCAGCCACCAAGTGGAAGGTTATATAGTAATAAAAATTATGAAATAAGTATATTGACATGTATTTGTATTAGCATAGTCCTCTAACCAGCATGGCTCAGGATGGGAGAGGATGAACTTCCCCAAGGGGCACCGGGGACTTTGAGAATATACATAACAAAATGTCATGTGCTCCTTCTGGATAACATAATACTAATTGTATAAACTAATTCCTACTCACCATGCATCCTCCATACCTTAAATTAATATTACTATTTATAATCCCCTAATAAATTTATCCAGCCCATTGCACTACCTGTAATTCCTCTGATGGTACATGTATGTTGATGCAAACATATTAGTCATACACTTGATATATTTTAGGGACATAGGTAAATGACAACCCCCATCTTATGGATACTTTTAAAATGATGTACATGTTTATATCAATAAGGCCACCATTGCTTCAGACAACCACCAAACCCAGACACGCCCATCGGATTGCCAGACAGAGAAGCGTGATTGGTCACTCCAGAGAACACTTCTCCACTTCTCTAGAGTCCAGTGGTGATGTGCTTTGCACCACGGCATCCCACGCTTTGCATTGCACTTGGTGATGGAAGGCTTGGATGCCGCTGCTCGGCGATTGTTGTGCCTCCAAGTTTGGAGGTCTGTAGCTATTGTCTCTGCAGACAGTTGGCGACTTATGCACACTGTACGTTTCAGCATGCACTGACCGCGCTCTGTCATGTTACGTGGCCTACCACTTTGTGGCTGAGTTGATATTGTTCCCAGTTGCTTCCACTTTGTTATAATCCCAGTAACAGGTGACCGCGGAATATTTAGTAGCAAGGAATTGCCACAGATGGACTTACTATCACGGTATCACGCTTGTAGTCACTGAGCTCCTGAGAGCGACCCGTTCTCTCCCCAATGTTTGTAGAAGTGTCTGCATGCTGAGGTGTGTGATTGTATACACCTGTGGCCATGGAGGTGATTGGAACAACGAATCAAATGATTTGGAGGGGTATCCCAATACTTTTGGCAATGTAATGTATATCAATTGGATAATTATGGATACAAGTTTAACACGGATTATAACAACCATTGAAGTGCTTTGAGATAGAGCTGGATACTTGATTGCAATCTCTGATTTTTGATCATGATTTTTGATGCATGAGGCATTGCATGTGCTGCTTGATACATTTATTTATTTTATCATGTTGTATTTATTGTTGGTGAATTGGATATTTATAGAAATATTGTGATTCTTATTTTTTGTCATGGCATTTAGTGTTTCTTAAGGGGAAATCTATTGTGTATATTTAGGTTCATACAGCACAACCATGATTAGTAAATGCTGAGATAAAGTTGTATTTGAAAAATTAGGTTTTTTTTTCCCCCTTCCTCCGTGGTATATAATCCAAGGAAGGAAAACTGGTGAACTGGTGATAGGTTAATTAGTGGTGCTGGACATGGGGAAAACAAAACGGCATGTAAGTTGGCAGATGGGGCTTCCATGTATAAGACTGAAAGGATCTGCTCCTGATGGCTTGGTGCCAGTTATCATAGTGTATCTTCAGAGGTCTAGTGGATCCCCTGCCTTGATGGGTCAGGAAATAAGGGACCTGCTCAATTTTCAGCAGAAAACTAGTAAACTGGGGACAGGGTCATCGGCGGCCAAGGCTCATTGATGCATGTGGGGAGCGAAGGATGACCAATGTAGTCCAATCCAATAGAAGAGCTACTGGAGCTCAAACTGCTGAAACAGTTAATGTTGGTTCTGATTAGAGGAGTCTGAACACATAGCCCCATACAAAACAAACTGCAATGCACTGTGTAGCCAAAGACCAGTCAGACTGCCCATGCTGACCCCCTGCTTATTTCTAAAAGTGCCTATACAGGTGAAACTCGAATAATTAGAATATCGTGCAAAGTTCATTTATTTCACTAATGCAACTTATGCGGTGAAACTAATATATGAGAGAGACTCATTACATGCAAAGCAAGATAATTCAAGCCGTGATTTGTCATCATTGTGATGATTATGGCTTACAGCTCATGAAAACCCCAAGAACCCCAAATCCACAATCTCAGAAAATGAGAATATTACATGCAATCAATAAAACACGGATTGTACATAGAACAATATCGGACCTCTGAAAAGTACAAGCATGCATATGTACTCAGTACTTGGTTTGGGCCCCTTTTGCAGCACTTACTGCAATTACTTTTGCACGATATTCTAATTATTCGAGTTTCACCTGTATAGGCCATATATGATTCAGAACTGGACCCCAGAGCAATGGAAAAATATAGCCTGGTCTGATTAATCATGTTTTATTTTACATCATGTGAATGGTTGTGTGTGTGTGTGTGTGCGTGTGTCACTTACCTTGTGAAGAGATGACACCAGGATGCACTATGGGAATTTCATGTGGAATTCATGTGGAAGTGACTGTGACACGTACCACCGACCTAACAGTGTTACTGACCAAGTCCCCCCCTTCATGGAGACGGTATTCCCTGATGGCAGTGGCCTCTTTCAGCAGGATAATGTGCCCTGCCACACTGCAAAAATGGTTGAAGAATGGTTTGAGGAACACAACAAGTTTGAGGTGTTAACTCGATCTCCAAATTCTCCAGATCTCAATCCAATTGAGCATATTTGGGAGGTGCTGGAAAAACAAGTCTGATACATGGAGGCCTGTCACCTCACAACTTACAGAACTTAGTAGATCTGCTACTGACAACTTGGTGCCAGATGTCACAGCACACCTTCAGAGGTCTAGTGGAGTCCATGCATGGATGGGTCAGGAGAAGGGGGACCTACTCAGTTTTAGGTGAGTGTTCATAATGGAATGGCTGAACAGTGTGTAGTTGGTTTCTTAACATGGAACTTGTATTTCTGACAAAGTCAGGCCTTCCTTTACTCTACTCACCAGTTCCTTAATAAGTGAAATGTGTTTTTGTTTTAATATGTGCCCATTGGAGAGTAATTTTCTATTACTCCTGCCATGACATGAAAGGAAATCCCAAGGCACGACCTTAAACCCATTGACAGATTCAAGTATGACCTTTCCAACTCTACTGCTCACCTCTTTATTCTTAGTGTCCCTGTTCAAGTCCATACATTGATTTGGAAGTCAGCAATTGTCCTCAAAGTTGGCACATGTTGTTGCTTATGTGTGCACATAAAAAAAAAAAAAAAACAATACATGTATGTATAATTTTCATCTAAATTCACATGTAGAAGACACTCATTTTGATACAATATAATACAAGTTTATTTCCCATATCTTAACAATAAACAGCTTTCATTTTACTAATTGCCGCCTGCAGAGCTTTATGAATTTCCTGATTCCTTAGAGTATATATGATGGGGTTTACCATCGGAGTCACTGAAAAGTATGTGAAGGACAACCCTTTGTAAACATTGAGAAACTGACTACTCCTCGGCATCCCATATAAGCAAAAAAGTGCTCCGTAATATAAAGTCACTACTAGGAGGTGCGAGCTGCAGGTGGCGAAGGCTTTCTGCCTTCCCTCCGACGTCTGTATCCTGAGAATTGTAATTATAATAAATATGTAGGACAGAACAATCAAAAAGAAAGGTAATATAGTTGCAAGAATGCTGATCACTAAGGAAAATAAAACAAGTGGCAGTATGTCTGAACATGCAAAGGAAATATAAGGGGTGAAGTCACAGAAGAAATGGTCGATGGTCAAAGGGCCACAAAATTTAATATTTATTACAAAGTAAAATATAACTGCAGCGGATATAAATGAAATGAACCAAAACCCATTTACGAAATACAAGCAGAGTCTATTGTGTATGAGGGCTGAATACCTGAGAGGCTTACAAATAGCCAAATATCTGTCGTATGACATCAGAGTGAGCAGCAGAGTCTCAACCATCGTTATGCATCCAGATACACTTAACTGGATAGAACAGCCAAGGCGGGAGATGACCCCTCTTCCCAATAGCATGTGTTGCAGTATCAGGGGCACCAGGTCTGTTGTATAGAGGAATTCGCAGAAGAGCAAATTCCCGATCAGGATGTACATGGGACAATGGAGACGAGAGCTTATACGTACCAAGAATATTATCAGGATGTTTTCAATGCAAGTGAATGTGTAAATGATCAGTAAGAGAAGGAAGAGAGGGATTCTGTAGTCACTGAGGTTCTCGAATCCAACAATCAGGACTTCATCTTTAAGTGTTAGATTTTTCTGAAGTAACATCTCTGAAAAGAATAAATAGACGGTGATTACTAAGCCCAGAGATCTATGTGATCTTTAAAAACCCAACAGGAGGTGGCTGGGACCTCTGCGGAGAGACCATATCTTCTACATTGAGCGCAAGGGACCTTTCCTGCAGCATGCTTTCTAAACAAAACAAACTGTAGGGCTTTGAAGACCTTTTTTTTATTGTGATGCATTTGGAATGGATTTAGCTGGTTAAAGCTCAGTTGAATGTCCAGTTTAGTTCTTTATTCAGACAGCAAAATACACAGTCAGAATATGTATGTTTGAGCCATTGTATCGATCAAAATAATGGTAATTATTGTGATTCATCCTCTTCCCACTCATCATCCATTGCCACCTCACCGTGATTCTCTAAGTTATTTTTTGGGACCATGACCCTTTACTTTCTAAATTGCCACTCTTATAATTGTATATGGTTAATCCATGCAATGATAGTATTATTATTATTATAATACAGGATTTATATAGCGCCAATAGTTTGCACAGCGCTTTACAATATAAGGAAGACATTACAGTCACAATACAATTCAAGACAAGATAGTAAGGAGGGCCCCGCCCCTGAGGGCTTACAATCTAAATGGAGGGGGAAGTAATACATGAGGAGGTAGCTGTGTGGGGATGAATTGTTTGAGAACGTGATGGTTGAGTGGTTAGGTTGAGGTGGGATATGCTTCCCTGAAGAGATGAGTCTTATGGGAATGCCTAAAGGCAGTCAGTGTGGGAGATAGACAGACAGGTTGGGGTAGAGAGTTCCATAGGATGGGAGACACTCTAGTGAAGTCCTGGAGGACTGTGAGTAAACTAATTCCTTTGGGTGGTGCTTACAATGGTCAGCTCTTATGTATATACATTTCTGTTAACTGGAATTTGGCTTTGAATTGTTTACCTACCTAATTCCAGACTACATTTACATCTCCCAAACCCACACCGGTGTATAGGACTCAACAAACCTATAGTACATAAATCACCACACTATGCACTGCCTGGCCAAAAAAAAAAAAATCACCACCTGCATTTAGCTAAGCAAATAATTAAATTTGCTTAGCTAAATCCTGTTGCAGGATGCAACATATGAATCACTGCAGAAATGATCCAGTTGCAGGCTCTGACCTAACTGATACTGTGAGTAGCTTCGCATATCTTAAACAACCATGTCCCAACAGAACATATCATGTGGTGGTGGAAAGGCTATAGTTCATTTTCTATCTTTGCTTGATGCAGAACAATAATTTGACCCTTCTGAAACCAAGGAGATTGCTAAAATTGGGTTAAAAACTGTCCAATGAACTATTAAAACTTGGAACCATCACTGTCGAGGTAGAAATGTGTTAATGAAAAAAATGTATGAATGATTGTAATCTGAGATCACCTAAATCTCTGGTGAAATCAAATTGTAAAAAAAAAAATCAACAGTAGTATGCAAGGCTTATGTTTAATTGTCAAAGAAAAAGCATTTCCACACACAATGTGCAGAGAACGCAAGTGATTGGGACTAAACAGCTGTGTAGCCTTAAGAAAATCACTCATTACTCAGGCTAATTATGCTCCCTAGCAAACTGAAGCCTTTTTTTAAGGCCCGGTTCACACCTGGGCGTTTTGTAGCGCGTTCCTACGCTCTGCAAAATGCTCAAACACCGAAATCCCATTATTTCCTATGGGTATGGTTCACACCTGGGCGTATTACAGGCCGTATGAACGCGATACAAAACGCCCTACGCCCAAAGAAGTACAGGAGCTTCTTTGGGGTGTTTTTGTTGCGCGTTTCCATTGGGATACAGCCAAGTAGCCCTCGGAAACGCGCGTTTGTCACCGCGAACCGCGTGACACACATGCATATTCGCTACGCCTAGGTGTGAACCCAGCCTAAATAGTGGACTCTGGAGCAGTGAAAAAGGGTCATGAGGTCTGATGAGGATCATCAGGGTCAGAAGAGAGGCAGATGAAGTGATGCACCCAGCATACCTAATGCCCACCATACAAGCCTTTGGTGGCACTGTTATGATCTGAGGTTGCTTCACTTGGTCAGGTCTAGTTTCAGCAACATTATGTGCCCAATGAAATGAGGTCAGCTGCATACCTGAATATACTGAATGACCAGGTTTTTCTATCAATAGATTTTTTTTTCTTCCCTGATGGCACATTGGGCATTTTCCAACAAGACAATGCCGGGATTCATCGGGTTCAAATTGTGAAAGAGTGGTTCTGGGAGCATGATGCATCATTGTCACACATGGATTGGCCACCACAGAGTGCAGACCTGAACCCAATTTAGGAACTTTGGGATGTGCTGGAGACGACTTTATTCAGTGGTCCAACTCTCTGATCATCACAAGATATTGGTAAAAAAACTGATGCAACTCTGGATGGAAATAAATGTTGTGACATTGTATAAATGTCTTGAAACGATGACATGACAAATGTGTGCCCTAATCAAAGCTAAGCCAACTAAATATTAGAGTGCATGACTTTTTTTTGGGCCAGGCAGTGTATAACCCAACAAGGTGTCATCAATGAAAATGTAAAATTCATTTCAGTACAGCGTTGCATGACGGAATAAATGTCAGTCAAAGTACCGCAGCGCTGAATACTGAACAATGGCCGGGACAGGAAGGGGGTGTAAACACCTGGTCTTCAAGCGGTTAAAGGGCATCTTTGTAAACAATATACGTGAGGAACTGCATGTCATGCTCTTTAGTGAGACATGTATCTGCCTTGTTGTAGAGCCTAGCCCTGAGATATTATCCTAATGGGTTGGACTTGATGGACTAATGTCTTTATTCAACCTCAAATACTATGTAACTATATATTAAGTAAGCTATGGTGGAATGGTGAGTGAAGATATGCAATGCTAAGACTGTAACTCAAAAGTGGATTCTGCACTGGATTGGCTGCAGTGTTGCATGCACAGGTGGTGTAACAGAGTTGGTCAAGGCACTTATGGAGGTTTTCAGATGGTCTTGATGAGAGTCCCAGACATTCAGTGGCCAGCAGGACCCAGGATGGGTCCATGTCTGGCTCAGTCATACTGTGGTGAATGGTAGGTTATGATGTTTACTTTTATATGCCCACTTTCCCGGAGGGTGGAGTCTAAGGGATAGCTGGTGTTCTATCAGGCAACCTCTCATGGGAGTGTGGACTTAGGTGCTAACAGGTACTCACAGCTGAGAGAAAAAGGTGGATGTTAAAAGACTGTAGGAAGCAAGGTAGCATTGAAAGGGAGGAGCACTGGTTGCAAAGTTGCAATGTCAGTTGGCACTGTTGGTAACTGAATTGGCACAGGGTGTATAGGCAGCAGGGGAAAGTAATGTAAACAGTGTATTACACAATCCTGTCTGCTGCACACTGTATAACATGGTGTATCACCTCTGACACACTCCCAGCATAGAGAGGCTAGGAATGATTTACACACAACACAGAATGATGGCATTCAGGAAAACATTTCCCCAGTAAGGTTTTTTACCACTCACTTCTGCTGCTGCTGCATATTTTGTCCACTGTATACTTATGTATTACCTGTCCATTGTCCCCAACCATTGTTCTTCTCTGCACTCATCCACAACCTAAACAAAATATTCCTCCAAAAGCAACCCCCATCAAAGCCACCATCCACCACGTACCTCTGCACCCCTTGTCTACCACTTCTGACCCCATTCAATCCTCTTTCACTATTGCTCATCCCTGCTCGCTTCCTCAAACCCACATGCAATGCAGCCATCTACCTCTTAACTCGCACAATGCAGCCCCCACAACCTCACATACAATGCAGCCACCTACCTCCCTCCTCGTGCTCACAAGATTGTATCGGGCCCGCTGACGTCAGATGGTCAACAAAACAGAACACATTGTTTGTTAAATGTGTCCATCTAGTGAAGATGGATCAAAATTCTGGAGGATTTCGACAAATAAAGCCTGGGGGGCCCACCCGGGTCCCTTACATGACTATCGGCCAACGATGAAGGGCGAGGAGGTGGAGGACTGGCCCTAGCAGCGCAGGGCCCCAGCATTGCCGCTCCAGCGGCTTTGAGACGAGCTAGGGCCCCATCAGCGACGCTGCTCGTCTGATGTCGGACTGGTCGGTAGTGACGTCACTTCTGGCCGGTCCGGCGGCAGACGAGGCCGTGTGTGCAGGTAAGAGAAGCTAGGAAGGAAAGGAGGGAGGAGAGGGATGCAGCCCTGACCAGCCCACCTGAGACCCCTTTAGAGCCCACCATAGACAGTCTCAGATGGGCTGTGCAGCATCTATGGTGGGCTCTGCAGGGTCACTCTGGTGGGTCCTGTGTCCAGCGTCACTAAGCCCTGCGTCCAGCGGCGCAGGGGGGCCCGGCCTAAAGCCGTGTAAGGGCCCCCAAAATTTCTGATGGCTGTCTAGGCTAGAAATATTGTTGGGATTTTTTAAGGCATATCTCCTATGTTGTTTCTCCTCCTGCCGTTATATCAGCAGTTACCATAATTACCATTGTTTTACCTAGAAGGAGCAGCTGTCAAAATGCAGCCACTCCTGTATAAAATGACACTTGAAGATAGCCTGTGTCACAATGAATTGTTTCATTGTATGTACTATTTCATGAGAATAAAGGTCAAAGGTGTGGCCTGTGGTCTGCATATATTGTTTAAAGAAATCTTACAAGGTATGTTTTACCTTACTAAAATGTATTCCTCTTTACAATTGTAATAAGTGCTGTTTAGGGATAACTAATAGTTACCAAGGAGTTAAAGTCAAAAGGATGTAGTACCATTGGTAATGATGTAGCACCAACAATTTACTCAGTTGTGCATTCACATCAGTCCCTGCTGTATTCTGATTTGATCTTTTTTCTAAAACTTAATTCAGCATTCGTCAAGATCTCAGAGCTTCATCTAAACACCTAACCAACAGGTTATGAGCCCAGGCACTGAACAGAATGCTGCAAGTCAACAAGAGTCACACCCAAACTACTGAAAGATGACAAGTGGTTCCAATATTTATTGATTACATA